TCCTGCTGTTTTCAAGGAGAAATCTGTAAATAAAGGAGGAATCTTTATACATTCTTTGTAAATAAACAGGATTGCATCAGAAAAATTATGATTAATCACCATTATCGCCTCGTAACCTGAACAACCTACAAGCCCCAGAATTATGTCTTCCTATTAAGGTCAAAAGAAGTAACTATGTTAATCTTTAAACATGGTATTGCAATCACAGCTTTGCCAGAATTCAGGGCTACTGTGTAATCTACAGCTCTAGATTAATGATGTAATGATAGCTGTCTTGTACTGTGATAATGGGTAGGACAAATGAATCCACAGCACATTAAATGTTGCATCAAGAACAATATGGGTCAGGTCTGGGTTTCAACTCTATGTATTCCATTATAAGTGGAAGTTTCAGTAAAAACCTTGCATAATAATTTGAAAACCCAAATTATAGATTGATATTTTCAGAGGCATATTTTATTATGCAGACAATGATGAACGAAATGCAGAAAGGGAACAACCCGTTGGTTTCTAAATATTAAATTAGATTTGATTTTCATTTTCTTTTCATTCACATTTTGTTTTGGGTTTTTTTTCAAATGGGATTGTTCTACGAGTCTGGTTTTTTATCTCATTTGGTATAACTGGCTGGTGCAGCAGTCATTATTCTCTGTCATTATTCTCTTTTTAAGTTTTTTATCTCATTTGGTATAACTGGCTGGGGCAGCAGTCATGATCCTCTGTCATTATTCTCTTTTTTAATTTAATTATTTTTAAAGTATTCCAATGTCAGACTTAGCTCGTGTAGAGTTCCTCAGAAACACAGTATTACTAAAAACTGGGAAAGAAAAGATGGTCTAATGAAGGGATGTCAAACATACAGCTCATGAGGTTGGGTTATCCAGGCCAGATTCAGCCCACAGAGGTGGGTCATCTGGCCTGCAGGACTTCTCTCTGGCCAAATGAGTCACTTCCTGATTCATCCTGTGGCTTCTCACTGCAGCTCCTAGACTCTCTGCATCAACATAGCCATACCCAGGGGGTTAATGCTGATTCTGCCCTTACCTGCCAGGAAATTTTCAGTTTTTGATTACCACTCAACATGCAAATCTGTAGCAGAACAGCAGCAGTGTTAACCCCCATGTAGTGGCCTTGCTGAAACAGTGGCTCTGACAGCCAGGGCAAGAAGCCCCATGGGCCAGATCCAAAATTAGGTCACCTGGTCCACAAAAAGCCACATGGTCCAGATGCAGCCTGCCACCTCATTCAAGTCTGATACCCCTGGTCAAATGGATACTGTACGTACTGTGTCCCTGGGCACATGTGTAAATGCTGCACCCAGAAGCAATAACCTCTGGCACAAAATGCTCTGGAGTTTATTTCATTGCATTACTATTCACGTGTTGACCTACCCAGCAAGTCTGCTTTGCAGTTAGATAACCACTGTTCTACAGACCTTCATGTGTGCCACAAGAGGTGCAGAAGCCACCTTCAGTTCTCAACTGGGCTTGTAAAAAGCTGGTATAGAAATGCGTCTATGCTGCTTTCTTTTTTTAAGCTCTTCTCGTGGGGTGTATATGGGCAGGGCGTGGCATGGATAGATTCTCTATTCTATGATGTGGTTACGTCAGAGCTAAGTAGAGAATCAATGAGCCACAGTACCCTCTCTAACTCCTTTCCTCCCATATATTGCAGAAAATTGATTACACCCAAATTGAAACTCTATCCTATTATATCTGATGAGTAGCAATGTTGTAGCTATTCTGCTATAAAAGGCTATGATAATATTCTATAAATTATTTTCATCCATCCATGTTTTTTCAAGTGTTTAAACCTGATTTGAAAGTTAACATTTTGTGTGAGTGGATGAAACTTACCCCCATGCCAAGAGCTCGTAAGAGGTTCCACACCATTTCCTAAGTCCCACAGGCTGGGTGCTCTTGCCATTGACTTCAGTGGAAGCAGGACTTGGCACTGAGGCCTTATGCACTATATAAGATCTGGGGTGTATTTCACTCACATGAAATCATTATTGAACTGAGCATTGAACTGCATTTTACTCCTAACTGCAATTATAGAAGAAGCCTAACACATGTCCTTGTTTTACTTTGCATAATTGTGCTAGTCTCCCAATAACATAGCTTGCCACTCTATTTGCAGCTCTGCCCAAACACAGTGGGTTTTATACCTTTACACAGTAAGCATACACTTTTTTAAGATGCTTGTTTTATTCAATTTAACTCTAATTAGTACCCCTGTTGAGCATGCTCCAGTGCCTACCAGCTCTGCCTCTGCTCCTATGCCAGCTACTTCAGCCAATCAGCCTGCTAATGTTGCTCAAAACACAACCAATCAGATGACACCACCTTCAGCCAGCCCTACTTCAGTAGCACAAGACTCCTTCTCATCCTCTTTCCAAAGGTAATGCTTTTTTGCTTTATCTGTTTGCATACGTCTCGCTGTTTGTCCTAAAAAAAGGCTGTATACAAATTCTTTAATGCTAAATCCTGGACAGCTTTATCCTACTGTGCATGGTTCCTTATGTTTCAGGATTGAATTTGTTGTTGGATTGTGTAATTTGCAAGGAAATTGCAAAATATAATGCAAATCTCCAAACAACATCAAATGTTACTTCAAATGAAGAATAAAATTTACATTTTCAAAAGTCAAAACTTACATTAAAATATAAATATTTTCTCTGATATAGTAAGGACACTACATTTTGACAGTATTTAAAATGGTGAGTGGAAATTCTTTATATTGATGATTGAGGTATTCAAATCAATTGTAAAGAAATATCCAGATTAATAAATTAAACAAGCCAGCAAAAAGAAGTGTCTCTGTTTCAATATATCTAATTAATTATATTATACTTTGGAGGCTCTAAGAATAATAACACACCGTACAAATAAGGACCTTACATATTTAGTAGAATGTGACAGTGCTCAGCTATATGGTATGTGCAATGTACAGGACATCAAAGATCCATACACTTAATGGTTGATTTCTCTATGACACTAAATCAATTAGTCTTTATTGCATTAATTGTTTTTATTCTGTAATGAAGTTTAACTGTACAGTTAAAGTAAAATTTGAGAAGGAACATCTACAAGATCCAGGATGTATATGATAAATTTTGTATAATAATGGGAGTTATAAATGTATATCTAGAATTAGGAGACTATTCAAATTGTAGGGAAAATGTATGTATGTCATTGCCATTCATATTATAGTAATTGCTAAAATAATAAGAATGAATGTGTGGGGAGGGGGTTTCTTTTTCTTTTCTCTTTACAGTTTTTTGTTACATGAATCATTCCTAAAAGCTACGGAAGTTATTTACTTTTGCTTCTTTTGTCTTGCACATTTGAATACAATTTAATGTTCAAAAACAAAACATTTCTTTTTAATATTTAGAAATAGCAACCTTTTTTGTATTTGCTAATATTTCAATTTTCTTTCTAGCCATGATTTGTTGGACTCTATAGTATTTTTATTACAATGATGAAAGAGCAAGTTTCTTCCTAGCTGTTGTTTGTAGGACTCGTTGATATTTTTAAACTGATGGTAGAGAGTCAGATAACCATCCAGTAGGAAGAAATCAAAATGAAGTATAATGCCATCATTTCCCATTATGTGGAAAACCATTTCACATGGCATAAGTTAAATAAATTTAGCCCATAGTTGAGCTTTATTTAAACTGCAATATGATAAAAATGGAATATGTAATACAAACCTAGAAAATCAATTCTTATTCCATATAGTTAAAAGTATAAATATCTTATGGGATTGGTCACAAAAATATTGATCATGAGTCTTTCACACTTACCTTTGGTATTGTCTGAATATTGAGATGTTTGAATGGGAAGTCAAAGTACATCTTGTTCTTTACAAATATACCCACAAAAAATACTTGCTTGAAATACCAGCTCTGTTATCAATCCATACACTCCAGTTTTAATATTCTTTCCATAACCTGTGAATTTTGTCTTGTGTTCTATAGGAATGTGCTTGCTTGTGCTATACTGTAAGTCTGCAGATGTATTCCACAGAAAACACATGTGTTGCTGGTAACTATACAGTGGTCCTCTTGTCTCTGAACTCATACAAGGCTTGATTCTGAGATGTTGCTATTTTTGTCCTTGTTAAATTCTTTTGTATATGTTTTCATGCTTTTACTGTGTCCTCTGCAGAGTGTTTGCAGCCCCCACCTCCTTTTCACAGCCTAAACCTTTCACTGGGTCCAAGAACATGTCACTAGCAGCTTCAACTATTTTGTGTGCTATCTCTGCTCAGTCTAGGTACATTTGCAAATATCTCTCCTTTTTCTTTTTTACTTTGTTTTCACTCTTGGGGTTCCCAGACTGGCTTAGGAGAGCACTGAATCAAATTCACTCTGTGGAGCAGCCTGGTTGTTTGATCCATTTAGTTGTCTGGAATTAAGATCATGTTAAAAATAAGCCTTGATCATTCAAGTATTAGCTTTAAAACATAAATAAAAAAAGCCTTAGAGCTTAAACCCATCCCTGTATGTCAACTTTAAACTGGTTAGTTTGTAAAGTGTTTGCACTCTAAAGCTGAGAACATTTGTCTAATTAGGGCATATGGCAACCCCCGACTATTTGGTTTAGGTTTTGTTTTGTTTTTTGTTTTAAACTTTGGATTTTACTGTGACTAGCAGATCCATTTCTAAAGGTTCATTGGTTCTACTTCTGTTGTGTTTTTAGACCATGATTAACTAAGGACAGATAGCTGGGGTGGAACTTTAAAAACAGTGCTATAATGCCTTTCTGTCAGGCTTTCCCAATCGCTATTGTTCATTAACCCTTCAAGAAGCCTAACAATGGAGAAAAATCAGATTTGTTATTTGAGCCCAATCTATAACAACATGAGGAGAGAGAATGAGTCAGTAAAAGAAATGAGGTAATCATTATCTATGTCTGTTAAACCTCAGCATAAAAAGGCTGTGAGGAATCACCCAGGGGCATGACTTGCAATGAAGAAAGACCATAAATTCAAATGCTAAAACTGGGGAAAGATAAATACCCCTATCAATCATAGTTTGGAAAGTTATAATAGCTCAGACTGTTACATTTGTTCTCAGAGATCTGACACCTATGCAGAAATGAAACAGGTAAAGAATGGAAAAGAAGTCTGGATTCAGGAATGTTAAACAACCATGTAGAATACTCCATCTGCTTCTATAATTCCTATATGCAACAGCTAAAACACTACCAGCCAAATTTAGTCCTGATGTAATCCTGCAGTGAAAATACACCAGATTTCTTTTGAGAGTTTACACCAGTCTCACTCCTTTGACACTGTTTCATTAGCACCGAAGAGCAAATTTATTGGTTATCTGTTTCTGTATATTCGTGTTTTTACGGCCTGCTCTGGAAAGCACTTAGCACCATGGCTCCTCTTAGCACCAAGTTGGCTGTACAAGAGTGGACAGTAGACATCTGGTAGTAATGTTTACACGATAGAATTCTTAATTTGCATTATTTCCATATGCTCTTTAACATTTCATGATACATATTTCAGGTTATGCTTAGGAGCATTTATCCCAGCTGATTATTCAGATTCTTTATTTGTGACAAAACTTGTGTCTTATGTTCAGTTTCTCCCTGCTGCCTACTTCACTCAGTGATGCCAAAACTAATACTCCAGACTTCTGACATTTAAGTACCAAAGAACTTATGTTATCACAGTTGCTGGGTTGTCAGGCATCACTCTGTGAATCTATAAATCAAGGGAGAGGAGTCATATTTATGTATACTTCAGGTAGATCCATCAAAAATGAAGGAGAAATAAACAAGTTAAACTGACTCTCTTTTTTTAACAACACCCCAGTTTTGTAGCATGGTTGTTATTTGTAACAACTCTACCGACACCAGACCTGATGCTGCTATTCTGACTCAGAAACATTATCTGCCAAAAAAGGAATGGGCCGGGAATATATGCACTGATACAGGAGATATTACAGGAAACTTAAGTTGCCTAGGTTCTTTGTTAATTCTTCCTTCAATTGATGGATCCATTGGAAATTAAAAGAATTCCTGAGTCTTCTTGAAATAAAATCCCAGAGCTATGTTTTGCAGTCAGACTTGGTTGACAGGTTAATTATCAAAGCACTTTGCAAACAAAGCTAGGAAGCTTCCCCTGAACCTGACATTTTGAAAAACATAAAATAACAGAGGAAAAAATCTTGTATGTCTTTCCTTTAATTTATACCCCAGGCACTGTAGTGGAATTAATGTGGTGTAAATTAGTCCAGAATTGGTCTTTGTGCATATATGCAATGCTAGTAGGTCACTTAACCCTGCTTGGTAGTATCTCCTGTTATTCCACAGTATATTTACTAGGGCCTTGGTGGTGGGCGAACCATTTTGGCAAGCACCTCACAAATTAGCCTCACACCCTCTCCAAGTGCCATGCCAATTCTCTTCCTTTACCCAATCTGCTGTTCTGCTTTCTGCTCCCTACCCTATGGTCCCTGTCTGACCTGCTGCTTTGCTTTCTGCTCCCTACCTTTATCTGCTGGTAGGTTGCCTGTCCCCTCCCTGATCTGTGCACCACACACACAGGCTACGCATTCCACTGTTAGGGTGGCGCAAGGGCAAGGCAAAGTGTAGTTTCACTTTCTCTAAACACTGAGCAATGCTGTTTCTGGCTGTATACATTCCCAGTGTTGGGTGTGAGAGTCATAGCCCTCATATTCAAAACCAGTTCGAATTAAAAGAACAATGTCCTCCTAGAAGCCTCTCATGACAGTAGTGTTCAATTCTGCATTACTTAGTCACATACATGTGCTTTTCAGTTGGAAATGTGGTAATTAAATTTTTGGTTGTAAATATCTGTGTAACAATTACTCTGACAGACTGGTAACTGTTTAGATGTCTTCCATTTTCTATGATAATTGCTGGTATACATTTAATTGTTCAGTTAACTTTGTGATGGATACATTTTGTTGTAAAATGAATAGTATTTCCACTTCTGTCCTGGAAGTGATAGTTTCAAAACTACAAATCACATGCTAACTACACAAAATTTCCCTGTATTATCAAACTAGTCTTAATTTGATTATATCATTTGCATAACTGCTTCATCCTTGAAACAGAAGATTGTGCTTTATCTGTTTCTCATTTCCTTTTAATTCCACACCCTTTTTCATTTACACTTGGAAAGCAGACTTCTACCCATAATGGGTTCCTAACACTAGGTTCCTGACTCCATATTTTGCCATGCAAACAAATGGCCTGACATTTCAAAGTGCTAAGTGCCCAGCAGCTTTCACTGAGAGAAGCTGCTATTTATTTCAGTGCCAAAAATATAGATTTAGAGGCCCAACCTTAAACATGTGTTTTTAGAAATCTTTGTCCTAAAATATTGGAGAAAAAAGTTGTTAACTGAATACCTTTGCTGCTTTTATCAGACAGTCTTGTCCATTACAATGGTTTATAGAACATTTTGGTTCAAGCTGAAATATGAGGCAGCTTTGTTCTTAAAACAGCTTTCAGCCTCTGCTTTCTACACAAAATTATTTAGCTTGATTGGAAATAACACTTTTCCACTTTGCCTAATCCAGTCTAGTGATTTTTCTCTGGATGTCAGAAAAGTTTGATCATGCTCTTACCTAATGCAATCTGATTTAAGGCTGTTTGTTGATTTAAGATTATTTTTGGTGGAAAAAGGCTTTCATACAGCCTTAACTATATACTTTTCCTCAAGAAGAATTTTCAGAGAAAAGAACTACAAAATGATTTTGGAGTCTGTCATTACTGAGTGATCATCTCTTCCCTTTATTTTAAAGCCTATAATGTTAGCCTGACTCTTTCGCAATTTATCTTAAAAGGGGTAAAGCACAGTTGACTATCCAGTTCATTCACATTGTGTTTCACAAGGTCAAATTTTATATAGGCTTTTAAGGATTACCTCTTGTATGCAAGTAAGTGGATCCCTTGTATTTTGAACCTGTAGAGTTTCAACAGCAGAAAACTGCTTTCTTGCCTCCTACCAGTTCTGTTCAAAATGTATACAGTAGATGAAAGGGAAAAGCTGGTTGTAGTAACTTGGTGCTGTGGCTTCATTTATCTCCCCATCTGTCCTCATTATAGAGTAGCCCTGAATGTACCATAGCTAACTTGAGAGAGAGGCTCTGCCTCAGTGGTTCTCAACCTTTTTAGACCCAAGGCACCCCTTGGAAAATGCCAGCTCTTCATTTTCACTTATTTTCTGACTACAGAAAAATAATAAAACAATTCTGCTGCAAAGAATTCAGAAAGATCACAACACAACTGAATATTGTTATCACTATGGAGTCCCATTTGACATCTGTGTTTATCTTGTGAATCGTGTTTTCACACCTAGCAATGCTGTCACTGAGTTGCACCCTTTAAAGGATCTCAATGCACCCCAGGGTGCCATGGCATCCTGTTTGAGAATAACAGCTCCTCCTTAAAAACTAATTTTCTAATTCAGGTTTCTTAAGATATCGTGCAACTTCTGATTTGTGGTGCTCAAATCAAGAAATGTACCTTTCTTCTGGTTGCTAATGTATAGAGAATGCCAGGGCTCTTATTAGTTGCCAAACTAGAACTACAACCAAAGAATTAGCAGTGGGTGAATTAGTGATTTATGGAGCATTTTAGTTTGTAAACCAAATCCTGAACACCTTACTCAGATTGCAGTGGCATTACTATTTAAAATTAATTCAGCACAATATCACTTAAACACTTATATAACCTGTATAAAAGTAATGCTTGTTATCAATGCTTTAGCATATCTTGACACAGTACATGCTAATTACATATTTCATAAGGAAACTCAATATAGGATAAGATGTCCCATTGCCCCTGATATATTTAATTCTCAGTTTCCAATGATGTTTTCTTTCACATAAAAATACAAACTTTTGTCTTATTTTAGCTTCAACAGGCATTCTTCTACCTCCATCAGCTACCAGTCTAAAAAGAGGTATAAACCATTATCTTGTGCAACTATAGTACACATTAAAAAACGTAACGTGTCACCTTAATGCTGCTGGTAGATTGCTAGAGAAGTATTAACCAAAAAATGAACTTAAAATATTTCCTCTCTCCTTTTCCTGATGACTAATAGCTTTCAAGTGTATTTTATTTGCTGCCTCTTACATTCTGTTGTCTGTTACAGTAAAGGTGGAATGCATTCACTGCTTCTTGGAGATCCCATTGTTTTAATGTTGCATTTAACCATCTTCAGTCCTTGGGATTTTTTATCACTTGCTTAACTACTGTTTCACTTTCTGCAGCAGAAATTTAGCTGACAAATCTTTCCAAGCCTGATTTAGTTTTACTAAAACCCCTAATGATGTAGCATAATGCTCTATTTCTCTTACAGGAGCTTTTTTTCTCTAGCAATAAATCTAATCTGCATCCTTACTTTACTGTCTTTTTAACAGTTCCATAGTTGTTTTTTTTTAAACTCGGTTGTGCTGCTGGTCTCTTATTTGGAGACAAACTTATTTTTTCCTCTAGTTGAGATTTTCTCTCTACCGAACTTCATTTTCCTAGATGCACAAGGAAAGTGAGTTCAGTGTTGTAAAGTACTATTAAGATCAGGAAATACTTCATTATTATACAAAGATTTTTCTTCCTAACAGGCTGAATGTTAGTAACCTGACTCAGAGCTTCCAAATGAATTAGGAAAATTCAGTTTTAGAAACAAGTCTTTGTACCAGTATATGCAGGTTTTTTGGAACTGAAATATACTCTGCAATGCTGGGTCCAGTATAATTCAAATGATTGCTGTATAAGTGGTATAATTTTTAACCTCTTATTCTACACAGTAGATACCAATTAGAGACCCTTTAAAAGTAGCATGTTGCATTAGTTTATTGGATAACTAGTTTCCCATGAAGTTGGATAAATAGTGGATAACTACTTTGTCACGAAGCTTGAAACACTGAATATATTTGTTTTGTCTTTATTTTAGCCTTTGACAGCCTCATAAGAGGTAAATTCTGTTACATCTGCGCAGTTGTTTCCAAAAACCTCAGGATAATGTTCTAAAATGGCATAAGCTTTGATTTATTTAATTATTCTGTCAGGGATACAAAGAAGATCAATGATTCTGTGTCTTCTAACACTACAGAGGGGAATCAACAGGAAATATATGTAGATATGAACAGTATCAAAAAGTTTGATTCTGTTACAGTGATTGTTGATTTAAGTCAGAGCAGTTCTTAAAGTTATAAAACTGTGCCACAGTACAGCCAAGTCCACACCAAGGATAAAACCTATCAGAATATTTGATCATAATTTAAGTTTTAGGTACTCTAAATTCAGAACTAGTCTACGTATGCATGTATATGTGCACAAACACAAAATAGGGTTAGCTCTGTAGGCAGGAAAATTTTCACACCGCCAGCAGAAATATATAGGGCTCTTAGCAAAGCTTTAGCTCCATGTGAGTAATACTCAATGAAATAATGGGACTGAAAGAAAAAGGAGTTTGGGAAACAAGCAGATGTGACTGAGAAGAGAAAAGAGGCTTTCAAGTCCTGGATGGGTTTAATTACTCTTCCTATGTGGAGTGAGGCATTGGATGCAGACCTTCATATAAGCCTCTGAATTTGGTGCTTCTGACATGTTCCCTTCTTGCACTTCTTTCTGCCTTCTGTTGTTCTTTTCCCAGGTTGCCACTATGACCTGATTCCTAACTACCCTCATCCCCATTAAATGAAGGAACCCTGTTTATCTATCTGCTGGGATATCATTAAACATTATCATCTGTACACACTCCTTAGAATCAGTCCAGTCAAGGCAGATTGAACAGATCCTGAAAACCAGGATTTTTTTATTTCCTCTTATGCCACTGACTGTCCTAGTAAGAATTGTTCTTTTCACCGAGGTAATAGTACTTTGCATATATTTAGTCACTGTGTGCCCCCCAAGACAGCTGTAAAGTAGGTAGATGTTGACTACTTTGATGTAGATAGATGCTGCTTTGAATCCAGTGCTCACTTCTTCAGACAATTACACACACCTCTTGTAATGATGACAATATGATGTGATTTTGAGGAAAAGTTAATTTTTTTATCTTTTTATAGCTACTTTGATGTGGCTTCATAAATATTAAGACCATAAGAGACTTTAGTCTAGCCCAGTATACAGCACAGATCTGGGTGCAATATCTTGTGTATGGGAACCATAATGGTCCTTTTCTGGGCTCAAAATCAATGAATGAGAGACCTGTCCATGTCCTGAAGTATCATGGCACATAAAAAATTATAAAATTGTAAAATCAGAGGGAAAAGTGATCACCTGTATGATCAGAGTAATGTATGTTTGGATCATTGTCTTAAGAATGCTAAATTAAAATATATATATTCTATAACAGAAGTTTCTGGGCCCTAACAGTAAGGGCCATATTCAGCTAGTACCTGTGCATCTGAGGAATTTTACTCTATTGAGTAAGTCCATTGAAGTTACTCATATTTAGAGGGTTGGTCATAAAGTAATGCCTATCTTTTTCAGCCCAATATTACTGAAAAAATATTAAACTTACACAGAAAACTTGTACATCATTACCAAACAAGCAGCTGTTTTTCAACAGTTTTCTTCTCCATCCATGACCTTTTTCCATTGGTGGACAAGGGCATGTACCTTGACATTGTAAAACCCTTGTTCTTGTTTTACAGCCACTATCACACAGCTTCCATCACCTTGCTTCCCCTGCAGAAAAGTTATCCTGTAGTCCATTCTTCATTCTCTGGGCTGTACAGAGGATAGGATCACATGGTACCTCTGTAAGATTGCCTTATGATACATAGGCTGATGCGTGGGCAAACATTGTCATGCAAAAACAGTACCTCAGATATGTTTCTTTGCTTGCAATGTTTCGGTTTCTTTAGGGTCTTAACATAGACCTCTGAGTTTACTGTAGTTCCCATACACAAGAAATCAACAGGAACACTCTCCATATCTATGGCTTGCTTGGCTTACTTAGGAGATAAAAATTAGAAGGCTTTACTTTCTGACAAACACTTGTATAAAGATTTATAGAATCAGATCTATACTGATTCAGCAAGCACTGGAGTTACTTACAGAGATAATAGTGCAATATAGCAGTGCTTGATTAAAAAGATCATAACACAAAGGCTTTTTGCTCATAGTCATTGCCTCACAATAATTATGGTTAAATAAGCAGTTTTTCTCACAGTAAAAATTACTATTATTTATGAGTGAAATAATTAGGTCAGGATCTTTGAATGCTCCATGAAGCAAGGTGATGATAAGTCTACTAAATGGAGGCTGCAAATTCTTCTTCTGTTTATTGTAATTAAACTAAGGGTCATCGCATGAGCCATAAGAAAGGGGAGACAAAGAATACATTCAGGACTGACTTTCCTCCTTGCAGTCCTGAACTGCAGCCATTTGGAGCTCTGGACAGAGTTGTACATTCCCAGGCATAGAAGAGCCATCTTAACTGTAAATTACATGCAGTGTTTGTGCTTCAGTTAATACATTATGATCTCCATCTACACCTGGAAAGGGGCCTGCTTCAGAAATAAGACCTATTTCTTTCCCTGTTTCTAAAGGCCAGTCTCTAATTCCTTTGAAAGATTTTAATCTCTTCCAGAAATGGATGACAGTTTCTCAGAAACACCAGTATAAATCCCTGACAGAAATTCCACATATTTTGTTCCTGATTTTGATCCCATTTAAGTCAACAGCAATTTCCCCTTGATTTCAGTGAGCACAGTATAAGTAAATAGACTAAGCAGCTTATTTTCAAATGTTTGGCCCTACTAGATGGGCTCTTCCTTCAGGGGGGTCACACTCAGCTTGTGTAACACACGTAACTAGAGTTCAGTTGGATTGCACAGCGGTTAGTTTTCCATACCACTGGTCCACCTTTATAGTGTTTTAAACACATAGCAACATCTGGTTAACAAACTTCTTCCTCCATATTGAAGTTATATGTTTAAAATTAAACAGTACTGGAAGCTGCACTTGGTGTATGGAGTGGCACCAGTGGCTTCAAAGGCTAATGAATCTCACAGTCTTATTTCTGTGGCTTCAAGGGACACATCACATGGGGTATTATGAAAACTGCCAAACCTCTTGAATTCATAATCACATCTGTTACTACCTGTAAAGTTGCTCACAGCTTCATTTTGCTTTTAGAAGTCCGAGCCAGTCCTATATGCCAGCACCAGCTTCCCATGGTCCAGCTCCTAGCACAAGCTACAGCGAAAGTCCAGTTTCTGCTCCAAAACCAAGAGTTGTCACTACTGCCAGCATAAAGCCTTCTGTCTACCATTCAGGTAATGTGAGCTGCAAATAGCTGAAAATGTTCTGACCAATGCAGAACAGTTTTTTTGCCTAAAATGTTTACTTTGCTGGAAGATGCAAGATTTATTTAATTGCATAGGGTCAAATCCTTCAAGCCATGTTGGGGATGGATAACATTGTTTTACCTGATATCAAGCCTTCTCTAATACTGTGGGTTCATCATGATGCTGGATCTGTATTCTGTTTGTTGTGCATCCCCAAATAAATTAAATAATAAGGAAATATTCATATTCCGTCCACTAGCTCAAGCTTAATTCTGATAACAAATAACTATTCTCCTGTTGGGGAAAAAATACCTTTCCAGGTTGATTTATATCTTGCAAGCCAACTAAATAAACAATGTCTGCCAATTCTATCTATAATTCCCAAGAGTTCAGTGCAAGTAGAGAAGAGATTTTGCAGTGGAACAGTGGCAAAAAGCTCATATTGGGGGAGCAAGTATTCTGCAGGTAGAGATGTAACAAAACCCAGCCAAATTCTTTGAGAAATTCTAAGTTAAGTAGGCAAAATACCAGTATTTTCTCATATGCAACAAACCCCTAATAAAATATGCATCTTGGTTTTGAAATGCTGAAAAAAAGTCTTTCCTTGTGAGCTTCTGGCGGTGAGGGGTGGAAGGGCATCCACAGCCAGCAGGTGGGGGGAGCCCTAAGTGCAGCATGCAGTTTTACTTTTGCTTTCTTCTGGCATAGGCTTAAGCAGCAGAAGCTGCTGTTTCTACTTTTTCTTCCTTACAATGCACCCCTTCATTTCAAGCAGCTAATTTTGGAAAATGGGTACTTGTATCTGAGAAGATACATTATTCCATCATTGGTCTCATCACCACTAACAATAAAGCCCTTAACTTCTGCCAGTTTTTTTTTTGATTACATGTGCCAGTCAATAGTCTATCACCAAGGCTAGGGACAGACATTACACATAAACCAGTTTAAGTGATCAGAAACTGGTTTAAACCTGTGACAAAACAGAAGTCCAGTGCACATAAACCAGTTTGAAAATGGCTGAAACTGGTTTGAGATAAACCTGGTGGATTGTAGTATGAGACTTAACTGATTTGGGTCAAACCAGTTTATGCAATATCTGTCCCAGACCCATCGCTGATTTAAGATAAACCAGACTCCCCCAGCATCCCGGCATGCTCTCTGGAATGGGCAGGGCTTTTTGCTCCACAGCAGGGCTGGCCCCTCCCCTCTGCTCCCTGGTTGCAGCTCCAGCAGTCTCTACAGGCATCTTCCTGGCTTCTGCTCCCCGCCCCCCAAATTTCCCTCCCCACTTTCTGCTAAGCAGGCATTCCCCCATCCTTCACAGACACCTCTCAGCATTAGCTAGCAGGCCACATGCTGGCTACCTTGGAGCTGTGGCACACAGGACAAAGGTAGAATCAACCGATAGCTGGTAATGTCCCTCAGTTGTTTTCTTCATGAGTTGACAAACACTGAGTTAGGGGTGATAAACATTCCCTGCTGGGCTGCTCAGGAGTGGGGGAAACCCTCCCTAATCACAGTGTCTTGCTGGGGCCTGGCCACGCCTCCCCCTGACCTTCTTGTCTGAGCTACTGCCGGCATGTGCCTGAATTTCTGGAATGAAAAGGGAATGTCTATCCACCTCCAAATTGGTTCAATCTTTGCAAAATAGACTAATCAATTCAGGCTCAGGCTTTTTGAATGTCTCTCCCGCCCAAGGAAAAGGAATAACTCTCACTGATGTTATTCATAGTTACTCCTGATATGCAGTAGGATGTCAGGGACCCATGCCCAGGCATTTGTTGAAAGAAAGAAATGCTATACTGGTACTGCCATGATGCAGATAACATCACAAATAAAAGGAATTGAAAACACCTCTGAGAAAACTGAAGACAGACTGCACACATAGTTGGACAAACCTAAACCTCTAGACCCCCTTAAAAGGACAGCTTCCATTGAAATAAATGATTCAGAAACAGTTTCTTGCAGAATTAGACCCTAAATGAGATGTACAATCAGGACGTGCAATGCATTACACTGAGCACTTCATTTGTAATTCTTTAAATTGTTGTCCTTGTGCATCACTGCCCCTCACTCAGACTTGAATGTACACTGAAAATTGAGCCTTGAGTGTCTACAGACACAATGCACTCATTTTCAGTGTTCTTATTGTGTGTCTGCATATGGGAAAATGTTGTTCAATGAATGCTTCAGAGATATATTGTCCTCCAGAGAGCAGGAGAAATTCTGAACAAAGTGTAATGTGATATATTAGAAAGAAAGAAGAGGGAAATGCAAATAGTGTTAATCCTGGCAGTGAGGAACAGTAAATCCTATTGCTAAGGAGGTTGAGAGTGATCATAAGATGATATTTTAACATTTTAATTAACCCCAAAGAGGTTTCATGTGTAGGAGAGAATATTTTAACATATTCATTAGAAAAGAATGGAAAAAGTTTTGACCAACAAGTTTTTGTTAAATTACAAAGTGTTGCTGCTATTTTTTGCAGTAAACTTACACTAAAATCAAGTCTCACATCCAATGTGTTATTACGAATTGACCACTTAAGGGGTGAAAGAAATAGTATATCCTGCTATTTATAAAAGTGAAGGATTTAAAACCAGCTACCATATAGAACAGTTAGGCATTGTGAAAACTTTCTCAAACTGCTTTGCCAATACCTGACTTGCAACATGTACTGTCTGATAGAGTGGGATATACATTTAAATATAAATAATATGGACAGTTATTCCCTATGGGCCACATTTGAGATCACTAAATCCATGTTTCCCTTGTTGTCCAAATGTAATCTGAGCTTTGTTCTCTAAAGATTTTTTATCCACTGAGCCATAGACTGATGCTTTCAAATTAGTGAACTGGTTCTTACACTATCCTTGAGAGCCTGCTACACACAAAGGGTGACACACTGCATTTACTGCATACAAGGCACATCTACATGTTCATTAATGTGCCAGAGTTACAGCGCATTCAGTTTAGTACTTGGTTAACCAAGTACTAAATCTATGCACAGTAACTTGTGCTATTGTACAGTAGTGCTGGCACATAGCTATTTAGTGACGCTTACTGTGCAGTACCCTAATACTACTGTACAGTAGCATATTAGCACAGGTTTTGTCCAGCATGCTACTGCACAGTGTTACTAGGCTACTGTGCAGTTAGCATCTCATGTAGATGCGGCCACAGAGACATTGGGAAAGGGTTAACGCTATGCCAATCCCTTTATTCCAATGGGACTTCATTGCTAAATACCTTATAATATGAGTCTAAAATATTTTAAGGTATCAGCTATTCCCTTCAGATCAAAATATCCTTCAATGTTATACATTACAATATATGCAATCTCTTTCTAGAAAGCAGAACCCATAACTAAGAAGTTTTCTTGAAACCTGTCATCTGGTTTTCAGCATTTTAACATAGGACTTTATCTTCACTTGTTTAAATCGGAACGGACTCCTGTGGAACTAAACTGTTTTATACCAGCTAAAGAGCAGGCTTGTGTAGGCCATTGCTAATAAAAAGCTACACTTCAAACCCTGGTAATCGCACATGGAATCTTTTGCTGTTAGGAAATTGCTTTGCTTGGCTTCTCTGGTTCTTTACATGCTTCCTAGTGTTGATCAGAAATATTAATTTTTAAATATGAATGCTCTTGCTTTGTTCTGGCTACAACAAGGCTCCAGTGAGATAAAACCTTAAAAGACTAAACCTTAAAAGAAACCAAGATCGTTGTTCTTGATTCAGGCCACTAGATGGCAGGAAATGCCTAGTTCTTCCTCCTCTGTAGTTTTGCAGAGCAGGACAGTGCCTGTATATGTTTACAGAAATTCACAGGCCACTGTTTCATTTCACAAAGCAGTCAGATAATTGAAAGCAGGAAATCATTCCTTTTAATGCCTTAAGTTTGATGACTCTACTCATTTGTGTAAAATTTGTAACATGTAAACCTTTGCAGGACTGAGGTCAAAGATTGTAAGCACTTTTCTTATTGTAAGCTCTCCAAACAGGAACTACATAATTTTTGTGTAAATTTTTAAGAATGGTGCCAAATAAGCTCTTTCAGGCACGCATTTCCATTAATTATATGTTTTTAAAATGCCTAGAAAAACAGAGCCTTGACTTAAGTGAGACATCTAAACTAACACAGTATAAATGGTTATAATCTAATCCCACATCATGTTTGCTACCAGAAAACTGTTACTGCAACAGTTATAACAATGATGTGTTACATCTAGAAACACTTTAGGGATGGTAAATTGCTTTTGTTAGTTTCTATCCATGGGTATTTTAAATTCATAACATGCAAGAGGGCTATCTAGACCAGTGCATTGGACCACTGCAGGATGTGTAAAGTTCTGAGTAGCTGGACACATTGGGCATTTATGCATGTGCTGTAGGGTGGAGGGGGGGGGTGTGCTTTAATTAGAGCAGCTCTCTGATAGCTGCTCTAATTAAAGTACCCACAGTGTCATGTGTATTCAGCATCCTGCACTTCAAAATGGTGGTGGGAAATTTTAACTAAAGCTGATTCAATGAGCTTTATGTAAAGTGCCCCCATCACCATTTTGAAACACAGGAGTGCTGAATAAATGTGACATGGAGGCTGTTGGAGCATGCTAATTAGCACACTCCATCAGGCTCACAGCAGACTGAACTAATCTGCTCTGATACATGCTAGTTAGTACATGGAGCAAAAGTCCATCACGTGTATAGGTGCCCATTTACACTAGTGTAATTTACATTGATTGTGTGCTCAGATGTAAATTACATTGGGATCTGGACAGTTCCAGAAGTAGCTGGGGTAGTTGGGGATAGCCTGTTAGCCTTTAGCAAATAGTTATCCTGGGATAGACTGCAGACATATGATACCTGCAGCAGTGTATTTTTACTCCTGGGATTTCCCAGGGCAACTCTATACCAGATTCAAGTAAGTTACACCTGTAAGGGCCATGCATTGTGTTTCTGCTCCTTTTATTTACTGATGTGAAAAC